AAAGCAGTCAGAATTCATGGCAGATGCCATAAAAGACAAAATCTGTTCAAGAGAATTTGCCTGGATATTGCCTCTTCCTTAGTAACTTCTCGGAATTTTAGTGGACAGGTGGCTACACTGATGATTCCTGCTTCTGCCCGCAAAGCTCTGCCTGTGTTTACGGCTAAGGGATGAAACATAGACTGCATTCCTACGCCCTCCATATTTATATTTCTTAAACCAACTATTTAATCAGGACGATTTTTAATGTACACACCTGTGATTAGCGGCTTTCATACAGTCTAGGCTGTATAATCACCAACGCCGCTACTTGGTCCTTAGAAATTTTCTACAAAGTAAAGCATACAACTTTCGTACGCCGCTTTCTTTTCGTTCGTATTTCCAGGGATAAAGTTTCTCTTCTGGCTCCCTGTTGATTGGCCCGTAAACGACACATTCATCCGAAGTAGCAGACCTGGAAATAATCCACAGTCACCCAGGGTATCAACTAAAATTATCCTGAATCCTTACATAATTCAAGCGCCAAATGCTGGATTTGTTCGCCAGAAACGGAAAAGTAAATTTTCTAACTCCAATTTGTCGTCATCCTTATATCCAAGTCAGTAGGCCTGGATGCTGGTGCTCAACACATACAATAAGAACATTTCGAAGTGGCTAAAGCTCTGCCAAAGTGTTTTTTTCGGGAAAACCGTTGGTTTGCTGATCCATTCGGAAGATGAAATGAATTGTTAGCAAAAATGAATGTAAAGCAATGCAGTATTGTTCAAACTATTTCAAAAAGCTGCTATGGAGAGGCGGAAAAAGCTAAACTGAACGCTGTCTTCGTTCGCATCAACTGCGGAAAGCTGCTTTGAGGGTTCGCAGATACGCTAAAACGGCCAAATCATCGGGCTCACAGCATTATTCGAATTCCAATAATACTGCGGCACCCACAGGTCATAGCTTTTGTAACAAAAAATTATCTATCACAGAAGAAACGAATATCTGACTTTCCGTCAAAAAGGCAAGGAACAATCGAGAATAGTTATTCTGTTTATGGCAATCAATAGAGTCAATGTCGTCTTTGCTGCGGATTTTTATCGGCAAACGTCAATAAAATGAACCGTGTTTATAGCCGTCATCCGCTTCGACAGCATTTCATGTTATTTCATTAATAAACTTTCTACTATTCATCAGTATGGATAGCAAGTCGCTCTTCCTATGGAAGTTTATCTATC